TATAAAACCAAGGTCCTTTGCCTTGCGCATAAGTCTACTTAACTCTTCCATAACAACAAGAAAAAGGAAAGATGACAAAGGATCTCCTTGTCTTATAACCCGAGAGCAACCAAAGAAACCAGTGGGAGAACCATTCACAAGAACTGAAAACTTGATAGACGGAAGACAGGTCTCAATCCACTTCCTCCATTTACTTCCAAACCCCATTCTTTGTAACAAATAGAGTAGGAAATTCCAATTAACATGATCATATGCTTTCTCAATATCAAGTTTGCATAAAACTCCAGGAATACCACTCCGCAATCTGGAATCCACACATTCGCTAGCAATAAGAACTGAATCAAGAATTTGCCGTCCGCCAACAAAAGCATTTTGGGAGTCGGAAATAATGCCATCCATTACTTCCCTCATCCTTAAAGCAAGCACCTTAGCAATAAGTTTGTAAATACAGCCCACCAAACTGATTGGACAAAAATCCTTTATATCTGAAGCGCCTCCCTTCTTTGGGATAAGGGCAATGAATGAAGCATTAAGCGACTTCTCAAAGACGCCATAAGAATGAAACTCTTAAAATGACCCATTACCGCATTTCTTACAACTGCCCAACTTTCCATTAAAAATCGTATGGTAAAGCCATCAGGCCCCAGAGCTTTGTCTCCATTACAACTTGATAAAGCCTTAAGAACTTCTTCTTTAGTGAAAGGATTCTCAATCCTATCTCTATCTAGCTCAGAAATAGCCTTAAAATGGAGACCATCAAGTTTGGGCCTCCAAACTAAAGGCTCGGTATAAAGCTTCTGATAAAAGGAAGCAATACCGTTACACACCTCTTCCTCTCTCCACAGCTCCTCACCATCCACCCGAATTCTTCCTATATGATTACTCCTCCTATGAGCGTTAGCTAACCGGTGGAAGAATTTTGTGTTCCGATCTTCTTCCTTTAGCCAAAGAGCCCGAGATTTTTGTCGCCATGAGATCTCCTCCATACTAGCAATCTTAGCAAGAACCGCTTGACAAGAAGCTCTCCTGGAACGTAGAAATTCCACATCCCCTCCCGCCTTCTCAAGACGATCAATCTCAGAAAAATCAGCAAGTACTCTATTCTTCCTCCATTACAAATTCCCGAAGACATCCTTGTTTCACTGCTTAAGAGCAAATTTGAGAGCCCTTAACTTCTTTGTAATTGTGAAACTGGGTGATCCTGAAACAATAACTCCCTCCCACCAAGATCTGACTTTCCCTTGGAAATCTTTCGCTCGCAGCCATATATTCTCAAATCTAAACGGGGATCTTTGAGAACATGAATCCCCACAATCCAAGACCAAAGGAACATGATCAGAGGTGACCTTTGCTAACACCGCCTGAACGACATCCAGGAATTTCTCTTCCCAATCCCCGGAAATTAAAAATCTATCTAGTCTTGAAAGAGTGATTGGATCCCTACCATTTGACCAAGTATAGGCTACACATTCCATTGGTAAATCAACAAGAAGATGCTCATCAATAAAATCAGAAAATTGATCCATTTCCAAGGATCTTCTTCCCCCTGTAGACCTCTCTGATGGAGACCTAACAGAATTGAAATCCCCTCCCAAGCACCAAGGGAGAGACCACAATCCTTGGACATGGCAAAGCTCCTCCCAAAAAATAGGTCGCTCATCATCAACAACCGGTCCATAGACTCCAGTAAAAACCCATTTGAAGTTGTCCTCTTCCATCTTAAGCACACAAGATATAGAAAATCTCCCCATCCAGACGTCCGTTCGAGTTAACCATCTACTATCCCACATGATTAAGATCCCACCCGAAGAACCTATAGCATTCAAGGCCTCCCATTCCACAAACCTTCCTCCCTACAAACTCTTAACCACCCTGTCAGAAATAGATGCCAACTTGGTTTCTTGTAAACAAACAAGCTGGTTGTTCGGATCATTAAGACCACGAACATTCCATGTAATGATTCGTAGCTTCATTGTAAACCAAATAAAATAATCTCCCCTCCACCCTTCCCGAGACTCCTGCTCCTGGTTCTTCCCCTTTCCGTTGCCACTCCTCCTTTCCCTTCGCAGTTGACTTCAGAAATGAGATTCTTTATCTCTTGTACGATAAAGGCTTCGTGTTCATAACTTCATTGGTCACTGCAACCTCTCTCCCTTCCACAATTGCTTGAAGGTTAGATAATGTCTGATCATCATTACCTTCTGAAGAGACTCCCAAAAGCTCACTAGTGACTCCAATATTGTCAACTACCCAATCTTTCCCTATGTTAGCAACTTGTTCGTCGGATCGCACCATAGCCAATGGTACCTCCTGTAGGATTTCAGAACCATTCTCCACCCAAGGTGTAAGCTCATTGGAGCAAACCTGTTGGATTGAACCTAAATCATCAAACACCTCCTTTTCCAGCTCCCTGTCATTCTCATAAAAAGAATCAGATTCTGTAACAAAATCGCCCATCCCAGCGAATCTACCAGAATCAGTCTCGTCAGCCCCTGTATAAGGCAGGCAGTTAAGTCCTTTCAGTGCTACACTTAATCGAAGCTCTTTGAGCAAAGCTACGGCCTCTTCATTGGACAATTGAAAATGCAAGCCTCTTCATTTTGTTCTGACTTAGAACGACCTTTGCTACCAGACCCTCCCTTCTGATTCGTTCTCCTTTTAACAAATAACCCCTCTGCCAAACTTTCTGTATTGCCCTCAAACTCCCTTTTCTGCAACTCCTTAGAATTCAGAACTGCCTTCACGTCTTCCATGGACAAAGCAGTTCTGCCATACATTATTGTATCGACAAAGTTCTCATACGAGGGTGGTAGAGAACACAACAGAATAATAACTTGATCTTCATCCTCTATCTTGACATCAGTATTATTCAAGTCCATGATGATACTATTTACCTCGTCAAGATGGTCTTTCAGAGATGAACCTTTGTGCATTTGAAGAGTGAACAACCGCTTCTTTAGATACAAGCGATTCGCAAGAGATTTCGTTATATACCGGGACTCTAACTTCTGCCACAACCCATCCGCTATAGTCTCTCTAGTAACTTCTTGCAGAACCTTGTTACTCAAGCACAACAATATCGTACTGTGTGTTTCTCCATAACCTCATCTTTGTCCTTGATCTTTTATGGCAGTGCATCATTCCCCTTCAACGCCTTGGATAACCCTTGTTGAACCAACAAAGCTTGCATCTTAACCCGGCGCAGATTGAAATCGTTTTTGCCGTTAAACTTCTCGATTTCCAGAAACTTGGATGATTTTCTTGCTTCGAACCGAAAGCTGTGATACCAGTTTGTTATGACAAACGCAACGAACCCAAGTTGAATTAAGAATCACGATAAAAAAGTAAACACGCCACACAAAGAATAAAAAGATTTCTACGTGGTTCGGCAACAGTCTACGTCTATAGTTGGGATCTGGCGAAAGTTTTCACTATCTGTAAAATCGAAAATTACAAATTTTCAGCCCCACACTCTGTTTCTGTACGAATTTCAGAGTCTCACATCCTCCACTCCAAACCCTAAGCACCATTATATATCGGGTTATTAGAGAATAATTAGGGTCCACGACTCATGAGCAAACATCGGGTCAAATTTTTTCCTGGATTGGGCTCACACAAAGCTTGTCCAACGGGTCGTTGGGTCATAAGCGGATCGCAACGCGACCCGGCCCTAAATTCGGGCCATAATATAACACTTTTGACTAGTTTAGGTTGATGAGATGCATACATTAAAAGAATTAGATATTGTGTATACTATGTGGTTATTGAGTTGGCAATTTCCTAGACAAAACAAGGGGTGTAAGTTGAATAAAATGTCTTGAGTCAGCTTGTTTACAGCCAAAGTAGATGCTGAAGTTGATGAAGATGAACAATGAAGAACACTCGAAAATATCTCAAGCTCAATCATATTTAGGTAAAGCTGTAAATGTTAAGTGAGACCTTAGCGGACATAGAAATAGGATGGAATGAGTTATTTTACATAGTTTGACCTCCAATGACCCAGATTTGATCTTTAAAAGACTCAAAATTATTGTTTAAACAAGTTTTTTCAAAATTCAAGGACTTTAATTGATCGAAAATTTGATGGATCGATTGAACATTTTGAACAAGAAAATTGTTGGAAAACAGTGAGCTTTGAGTGAGAGTTTAATTGCTCAAAATATCAACCTAACTATCTCCATTGAGGTTCGATTGATAGGTCGATTGATCAAACCTAATGAGCAAATAACACAAAGGCTACAGGAAAGGGTTCAATGGCTCGAATTTGTTTTGGAACTCTCGATTGGAACAGAACTGTTCTGGAAACCCACAAAAATCAGTGTTTTAATTTGATTAACGTTTCCAATGTCAAATAGGATTCCTATATTAATTATAGAAATGGAGGTATTGTCAGTCTAGAGTATGATTTTACACTTTGATAATCAAAGTTTTCATAGACTAGCATACTTTGATTGAGTGAATAAAAGTAAGGAGCAGATCATAGACTATGAGACATTTAATCAACCAGGTGACGTTGTGAATATCTAGGAATTGAATAGAAAAGAAGAAGAAGAAGAAGAATACTTTCCTCCTTCCACCACATTCTATTTGTACTAAGAAGTTTCAGAAATTACACATAAGCACCCTACATTATATAATTAATAACAAATAATTGCCTAGCATTTTGGATATAAGTTCTTGGTTTTGGAAGCAATTGCTTATCTAATTCTCAAAATAGCAAGAAAAGGTTCATTTACATGTCAAATAAGCATTAGTTTTGCTGCTTTGGTTTAAGATTTCCTCTCTTTTAAAGTATTGGTTTCAATTGTTAAATAAATGCAAACTTGGTTTATGCTTCAAGCACATGGACGCCCTCACTGAAAAAGTAACAGGAAACTTATATTATCACAATTACTATTTTTTTTAAATAAATTAATTTATATGCTCTGAATTTTCTACCACCTGATCATGTACAAGTCAAAATGCTAATAGCTAGTTTTTGTGCTTCTGATGTGGTCTAGATATGGACTAGCACATTGCAGAGAACAATTTTGACCGCCAATACAATTGTTGGATTCCCTAAGGTTAGTGTAAACCTAGAAAAATCCTGTTATTTTTCGTTGACTCAAGAAAAATCTGATTTATGTACCTAGGATTCAGCTTCATAGATTCAATTCTTATAGATACAATGGCGTGCGCTTGATGAGATAAATGCTGGAGTATGTGATGGAATGACATATGAGGAAATAAAGAAGAATATGCCCGAGGAATACAAGTATGTTGATGTTCTTGCTTATTAACTTAATGCTATGTTTCGTTATCTCCATGCATGCATCTGATTAGAGCAAAGTCTCTTTATATGAATCATGTAAATGTGGATACTTTGGGCTTTCTAGTGACTGGCTGAACACTTGACAATACTTCATCTTCGTGATGTATAAACATTGTATATTGTACATTTATAATATTGACTTGCTACATTAACAAATCTACTTGATGGCTCAAAGGCCAGTGGTAAAATATGAAGTTAACTGTTATCGAGGCATGATGCAACAACACCCTCGAGACACCATTAATTTTAATATTGCAAGCTTGTACTCCAATATCAGTAATTTGGTCGTATATTAAAATAATAATAATAATAATAATAATATCTGTTAGTTGGCAGTGTTAACTGTATTCAGTTATTTCGATATGACATTTCATTGTTTTCCTTTATAAGGACAGGGAAGGAAAATAGACACAATATCCAACCCTATTATGATGTAATCAGGAGAACTAACTTGAATACTCAGAATCATGAGTAAATTTTATCTTAGTATTTGCAGCTTTTTAAATCATTCATCATTCTTGCTGTTACTGTTTCATGCTCGTGCTATTTGAAGATCTGTGTTCTGTTGATGTGGAGGTGGACTTGGGGCAAAGAATAAATATAGTAGTATTCTTTTATGATGGTTGTTATTATCTAGAAGCTGAGCATTTTATTTGTACTGGAATTTTGTGAGAAGCTCACTGATAAAATTGATCTACATTGGTCCTCTGACAACTATTGTCAAGGTGAAAATATTCTGCTATGATTAAATATTCATTTCTTTGAACAATTATGAGTGTACATGTATATTGCCAAAAAACGAATTTCAAGGCGTAAACCATGTTGAATTCCCTCTATGAAGTGGTATGTTGAAAGAAAACATAAATTGGTATTGTGTATTAACAAAATTATGCAAATTATGACAGTCAACATCTCAAAAATTTATTATTGTAATAATTTGAACAATTTGTCATCTTTATGCATAGCAGGAGATAATCATCATCAGTATTTGGCAATTTAGTAAGATTGTTATATGGACAGGGTAGAAATAAAATAATTTGATTAACTATAGTATCAGATAAGAAAAAGACAAACCGATATGGAGGGTAAAAGTAGAAGTGGATAAAGCATATCTATTCTCAGTTAAATAAGGTATAATGACGTAGGACATGTATGCTATTCTAAGGAAGCATTGCATTATTTTAATTCTTTTTGCAGGTCCTTAACCCACACCGTTATTTCCCCTTCAGTATAATTCTACCCAGAATTGAAAATGAATATTCTACTGTAGCTCTCATTCTTTATTGTGATCTTACGAGGTCAACTTGTTCAGCATACTGACTCCTGAACTCATGGCATGCTTGCAATAACTTTGGTTGTGCTAGAATGATATAATAATATGATTTTTTAGTTTATAATATGAAATTAGATTTAATGTACATGAAATGGTCAATGTTAGAAATTAGAAGTTATAGAAAGTTTTGTTTCTTTGAAAAATCAAAATCTACAAAAAATCACAAACATGAAGCATGAATTATAAGGGTGGCTACTGTAATTATTAATCTTCTCTCTATCATATTGGAAAAAAAAACATGGTTGTGGAAAGAAGATGATTGAAATTTTCATGAATTGGCTGCAGTCCTCTTTTAATTTGCTGATGTCGCTTAACATATCATTGGGTTAGGTACAATAAATCTCTGAAACATTTTTAGTTAGTATGTTCTTTAGAAGCTTTTTCACTAGAAGTGTGTATTTGAAGTCTCGTACTCTTCTGGTGCTTTCAATTAGCTTATTTCTCTTGATAATAGTGGTTTATTCATAGCAGGTCGCGTAACAAGGACAAGTTGAGGTATCGATATCCTCGTGGAGAATCTTATCTGGATGTTATCCAAAGGTTTACAATCAACATTCCAGATGAAGCACAAGTCCTTTTAAGCCATCAAAATTTGTTTGTAAATAGTTCAATAAAATTAACTTTCCACCTTATTGCAGGCTAGAGCCTGTAATCATTGAGCTTGAACGGCAGCGAGCACCTGTTGTGGTGATATCTCACCAGGTGACAGAGCATTAAACTTTACTCTTTTTTTACTTTGATATTGTATTTGAAACACTAATTTTTTTCATTGTGCTACTCTTGTAGGCGGTTTTGAGAGCATTATATGCTTATTTTGCTGATAGGCCTTTGCAAGAAATTCCACATATTGAGGTAATGCATTAATAGTCAAGAACCAGAACCAACTAATTTTAATTTTTCTGATAGACAAGCTATTTAAATACCCTGTTTGCAAATTTAATGTATGCTGCATGTAGCATGTTGTACATGGGGGATGGTACAAACAAGGGTGTTGCTTTCCACTAGGATTATTATTTAACACGGTTTTGGATGACTCACAATGTCTAATCTTCTTATTGGTGGCCTAGAAACTTAGAAAGATCTCCATATACCTTTTTAGATGGTATTTCCATTCCCTTAATTTCGAAGCAAGGATTTGGATAACATTTTCCTATCCTCAAATTTCTCGTTTTATTTCCAAATCTACGTCCCGAGTAGAAAAGAAATACTGGGTCAAATTCTTTGGATCTGGATTTTGAATTGGTTCCTTTTCAATTTAGCGTATGCTTTTTAAAATTGTATCCTAAAAAAGAAAAATTATGTTGCAATTTTCAGATGCCTCTTCACACAATTATAGAGATACAAATGGGAGTTACTGGTGTTCAAGAGAAACGATACAAACTCATGGACTGAATTTTAGTCGGTTGAATATTTTGATTGTAAGTTGCTAACTCATAAGGCAAAGTAATTTTATCCATTCATCGACAAGATGTAACATAAACAAGAAAATGCCACCTTGTAAGTACAATAATGATTAATCCATTTCATTTACTTTTTTTTCGGCTAACTGCTGTTTGACTGCAACTATTTTCTTCCTTCCATTAGATGACTTTTCCCAAGTTTTATGATGTTGTTTGTAGCTTACATGCCATAAAGTTAGAGGTATGATTCCTCGAATTCGTTTGTAGCGATCATGCTAAATAGAAAAGACACTCTCTGATATTCCTCCACTATTTACACACTTGATTGCGTACACGTTCACTGATCATCTTTATGGAAAAGCTATTCCCCATGCATATAGCTCAATAATTATTAGGGAAATTTGATTTTCAAATGACCAACAAGAAATTGTTACCCTTTTTCAGTAAATTTTAAAATTTATACTTAGGAGTCTTCTATCAATGCTAATGGGCGCGAAAATGAAATCATAAGCGTATCCCATTAAATTTATTAAAGTCATCTTAAAGTTTAGAGAATCAGAACAGACTAGTTTTAAGCTGGTGATGTTAGGGTATTTTAGTAAATAAGCACCCATAACAGTCTCCACCACAAGCCGGAATATTACGTGTCAGTTTACCCACAAACCTCCATCTGAAATCATCTGAATCACTGTTTATGATCTGAATCACTGTTAAGCAGAAAGTGATTAGGTAGGACGACGACAGTGGGCGAACAGTGGAACTTTGGTGTTGGACCCAATCGGTGAAGTGGTCTAGACCTGCCATACTTTGGACTTGCCTTTTGAATTGGGGTCAGAGAGAAGTCACGAGAGCCAGCCTACCAGTCACATAAAAAAGTTGACCCCTTTGCCCTAAAACATGCATCAAAAGGTGGAATCCCAGACCAGTATTGTAATTGTTGGACCGACTCTACTACCATAATAACTATTATCACCACCAGTACTACTAGTATACTAGACTACTACTAGAATCATCAGCACTAGTTAGTGGTTCTGGTTTCATTGGTGGTTGTAGAGTCAAAAATGACATCCCTTCTCCTCCAACTCCATTTCACATGGGTCCCCTGAAGATAATAACTTTGAAAGACAATTAGGGCCCCTATTCACCCCACCAGAAGACTAATATATATGTTCACACACATATGTATAGATTTATAAATGTACACACGTATATCTGGTAGTGGGATCTTGTCCACCTAACAAAATACGAACACATGAATACAATAAACCCATTCGGTCCGCTATTAAAATACGCACACTAACCTATTCCTGCCGTCGCCTTCACGAGACCTTCACTCCAACCCCTCTCTCTCTCTCTCTCTCTCAATTTTTGCATGAGTCTCACTGGCTCCTTGGATAAAGGGATTCTCTTTTTGACCTTAAATCATGTGTTATATTATATATACATATTTTATCTATACGTATATATAGAGACAGTTGTGTGTATAGATATTAGATACTATAATATATATATTGAGAGGGAGGGGGCCTTTGTTTAGGTAACAAGTACACGCAAAGAAACAAGGGCGCAATGCCCGTAATTTAATCCGTTATCAACGACTTTCTATTCACACAAACGTAGTCCCATAAAAGAAGGATAGAGATTCTTATATGGGCACGTTATCAGTTCACACTCATCGCCCCACCCTTACAAATCATTTATCACACAACTCTTTTGTTTCTCTCTCTTTCTCTACAATCTAATACGACTACTTTGTACACCAACAATGTTTAATAGTCCTCCTCCTCCTACTCCTCCAGACCCACCTCACCGGAGCTCAAACCCGCTGCCCCGTCTCATTCATAGCGCGCTCTCGTACGACGGCAACGTCATGCTCGCCGCTCTCATCTCACTACTACTCGTAATTCTGTTCGTTTTGTTACTTCACATATATGCCAAATGGTTCTTGGCTCAAGCTCGTCACCGGAGGACAAGGTCGGTGTCCGTGTCTGGTGTCTTTGGTGCTCCGGCTCGCTTCCATCACTTCCATACCTTCACGCTCAATACCACCACTCTTTCTAGCTCTCCCAAGAAGGGTCTACAGCCGTCGGTCATTTCTTCATTGCCGCTGTTCGTTTACAAGTCCGGTGACCACAAACACGGATTGGAGTGTGTCATTTGTCTAAGCGTTTTCGAGGATGAAGAAATGGGTAAGAAGCTACCCAAGTGTAGCCACGCGTTCCACGTCGACTGTATCGATATGTGGCTGCATTCTCATTCGAATTGTCCCATTTGTAGAGCTCCGGTGGTGGCGGCGCGTGAGATGGGTAAAACTGATTCAATAGCAAATGATAACGGGATTTTGAGGGAGGAGCAAACAGCGGGAATGGCGAGTACCGAGTCCGGTTTGGTTAATGGGGAGTCGGCATTGGAGATCGTAGTTGAGGTTCCGAATAGTGAGAATGAGAATTTGGGAATGAATGATTCATTATCAGTGACTTCAACATCGTCGTCTTTGTCATCTCAAGCTTCGTCTTTGGGTGGTTCACTTAGAATGATGATGAGCCGGAATAGATCTGAACGTAAGGTTCATCCATCATCCAATGTCAATGGCTCATCATAGGCTAGAGAGAGAGAGATGAGAGAGAGAGAGAGAGAGAGAGAGGAGACCGCTGCATTTTTTATGATTATGTTTCAATTTGTAGTACCACTTGTACAGATCTGCTGTGAGTATTAATTTTCTCTTTAAATACTCATTGAACTTCCTCAAATTTCATTATGCCAAATTCGCATCAGGGAATTCGAATTATAAATCCATCGTTTAGTTCCAATTTTAAGTTAATTTTACTTCAGATACATCATTAGTATAGTCTCATTAGTGACTACCCTCTAATTAGGAATTAGAATTATGAATCGGTCATTTTAGTTTCAATTTTAAATTAATTTTACTTCAATTCCAATTCTAAAGCGTTGATTTCATGCTTAGACTTTTTTCTTTTAGTTGACTAGGGCAGTTTTACCGCCATTTTGATTACACTTTCCCCTTTCGGACCGATGGCATCTATAAGGCTGGCCAAGGGAATCGAATACACCTTATAAGTTTAATTCCTAATGCTTTATGTAACGAAACGGGAAGACCTAGGACGTAGAAGATCAACACGTAAATAATTTGGTAGAACGGAATGGAAAGACCTAGGATGTAGAAGATCACCCCGTAAATAATTTGGTAGATTTGAAATAATGGCATTGCCCTATTCGTTCTTGTTATTTATATCTTTTTGTTTTCATAATCATTCAATGTAGGCTTGATGTTCCAACATTCTTGTAACCACAGCTACTATTATATAAATCAAGACTGTTCATTCATTTCAACCATCTAGCATCCTCCAGACCTTGAAAAACATGATCTCAAATCTCACCGTTATGATCTCAGTCAGTATATTGTTAATTTTCTTCTCTTTATTCGTTCTATTTATTATATTTGATAATATCCCAAGTTTGGGATTTGATCAAATGTTCAAATTTTTTTTTTCTTATTTTTTAAAATATATTTTATAAAAAAATTATAAGGTTCATCCCCATGGTAGGGATGTTGAAATTTGGAACTCGAATGGGAGGGAGTGAAAAGCAATAGATTTGAACAGCAATTAATTCATTGCATTAAAGTTTACCACTCATTAAATGGGCTTCCACATAATTGATTTTTGACTGGGAGTGGAGGGTCTATGAGCAATTAATTGGTGGGGTCACAATTAGTGATAAAGACAACACTTTTGTACAACCCCTTCTTTTTATCCTGACAACCTTGTAGCCTTGTGCACCAAAAATGTTGGTGACATGACATATTACCAGTATGTGTGACAAACATAGTCAAACACATCCCAAAACAAATCACCAAAATCGTGCACTAGGTAAGTGTAATCGGTCTGATCCGACTTAAGTGCGATTGGTCGGACTTACGTAATAAAAGAAAGATTCAACCAAGTAATAGTATTGTGAGTCACCATTTTTAAATTAGGATATTTTTAAAAAAAAAAATAGAGGGAGTAATTCTTTACAAATCAAAATGTCTCATTTTCATTATGGTGGTATTTTTTCATTTAGGAATGTAGTTCAGAGTTTGATGAATGATTTGTGAGTAACGATTTTTTAAACATGACATCTAATTTAAAACAGAGGTTGTATTAATACCAGAACATGTACATTCATACTTTTTCATTGTCTCTTTTGAAGTTTTTCATGTGTAACTATCTATCAGGTATTGGTCGAAATATTCGATGCTTGCACTCGTTACATGACACCCTCTCGTTTTTGGTGTTCACCCTGCCAAATCTCACTCTCTACCAGTCAACTCACTTCTTCTCCACAGGACCACACATACTCTCAATAATGCGTTAGTATGAATTACAATTCTGTAATGCTCAAAACTTAATGTTACATGAAGGCTAAGACATTTCTTAAACGAAATTTTCATAAAATAGAAATCAAATAATATACGACCCACAATTCCTACCACCAACAACATGTTATTCCACTTCATAATTCAGATAAGAAAAGCTTGAATTTTACTACACTCTGATAAATGGCATCTCAGATATACGTACACCAATGAGTTTCACATTTTAGAATAAAGCTGGAGTCCATTATCAATTTTGTTTTTAAAATTTTCACAAGTTAAAAATACATTGTGACTAGGCATGGGACTCACCAATCGTGATGGGCCCCCTACAAAATTTTACTTTTTTATCCCTTTCGTTTCAAATTAAATAATTTTTCTTTATTTTTCACTGTCCCAAAATGGATGGACCAATTAAAAAGTCAAAATTTTAAAACTTATAAAAACAAAATCATCATATCTTTCATGCGACATAGAATTCAGAGTTGAGGCTGCAGCACCATAGGGCATTCGACAAGCGTTAAACGAAAGCATTGGAAAATATGCATAAAGTATGTTTACAGTGCATATTATACTTCTCAAGTACAAAAAATATTTTTAAAATTTTAATTTGGTACAAATAGGTTCCTCTGACAAATTTAAATTCTAAGTTGACTAAATTACCCTTATTGAACTATTTTATAAAATTATTTAAAAATAAATAATTTTATAAAATGATCGAAAAAATTACTATTGGAGGATGTCCCCCTCGTGCAAAAAATACCCCATAAAGTTTCAATATGGAGCAAATAGATTCTTCCGATAAATTTAAACCCTAAGTTTACTAAATTACCCTTACTAAATCATTTTATAAAATATATAAAAATAAATAATTTTATAAAATGACCGAAAATGACACTATTTGAAGACACCGGCAATGGACAAGTAAAAATAAAAATATAAAAGAAAAGTATAAAATAAAAGTAAAAAAAAAAAATAGAAAATAAAAAAAAAATAAAGTGCAAACTAAGGAAAATAAATTTTTTACAAACTCTGAAAACTAGTGCACACTAATATTAGAATTTTTTTTTTTATTTAACAGTGTTGGTACGAAAAAAAAATAAAATAAAGAAAAAAAAATTAGTAAAAAAGAGTAAACTGAAATCTCAAAAAAATTCAAATCCTTATTCTACAAATTCTCAAACTTAAAAAAATAAAAAAATAAAAAAATGTTTAAACATATATATAGAGAAAAAAGTTTCAAATATATATATAATATGGTCAATATATATATATATATATATATATAATGGTCAAAATATATATATATAGTAGGAAATACTAATAATGGTCGAAATATCACATATGTATGAAAATGCAGAACCATTTCACATTTTTTATCCCTTTCATAAACAAACTCAATGCGTGTATTTTACCATTACGCAGAAATATAATTGAGAAAAAAGTTTCAAAAAAAAAGTTTCAAATTTATGTCTATTTTTGCACAATGTGAAAAGATTAGGGATATTTTTTGTACATTTTTTAAATAAGGGTAAAAGTGTTACGCGGGGTATACTTTAAGAGTGTTTTCTCCTCCACACACACACACACACACACACACACACACACACACACATATATATATATATATATATATATATATAAGATGATGAAGAAGAAAATTAATATCAATTTTCTCTTGTGAATACTCATTGAACTCCTCAATTTTCATCATGCCAAATTCACAATATAATATGAATCGATCATTTAAGTTCTGGTTTTAAGTTATTCTTACTTCAATTTCAATTTCAATTTCAATTCTAAAACGTTAATGATAGAGAATAGTTGGCTGAAAATTTTGGAATCTATTTAAATCGTCAAAAGGTCAAAACAGACAGGTTGGTACAAATTTTTTCTAATGATTTTAACAAATTCGTTTCGGACCTGGCTCAAAAATGGATCCGTTTTTGACTAATCCGTTTATGGTCAAATTAGATTCTTTCCCAATCAAAAATAAATTCCTCAAAATTATTCAAAAAAAACTGAATCAGTCCGTCGATTTGAATTAATATCTCCCATTAGTGGCTACTCTCTAATTTGGAATTATGAATGGGTCATTTTAATTTCAAATTTAAGTTTCGACAATTGCTTGTTGAGTGGGAGGGTGGGGCTCATTTCTGTGACCAATTAATTGATTTGAGATGGACGTAACACTTTTGTACAACCTTCCAATTATATCCTGACAATGTCCAAGACTTGTGTACCAAAATGTTGAGTACATGAGCTATTAATATTATTTGTGACAGGGATAGTCAAACAAGCACCGCAATGGTAACATGTTCTTCAACATCATTATTCTGAGAAGACCTGCTTGAATTTCACTACACTCTCTTTAATGGCATCTCATATACTACATGTATACATGCACCTATGAGTTGCACAAATCAGGCAACAAAGAGAGTACGTAAAATCCACCGATTACGGTCGACCTCACAAGTCATTTGTGTCTAATTGCAATGTTCAAATTTCGTTGCTCCGCACAAATATACTTTTTCATAAAATTATGATACAGCATTGAAATTAGACGTACCCAACAATTTTATGTGAACGAGAGAGAGTATTATTGTATAATAAAAATGACCTCTTTAATTAATAAGAGAATAATAAAAAGAAATGGCCATTATATTTAGGCCTAAAAAATTGGGCTTTCAAGCCTCATGACAACCTGTGTAAGCTGGGTTGATATGTGTAAGTCGGGTTGATATGTGTAAGTCGGGTTTATTCTGTTTGGGCCAAATTGAGAGTAGGGTTCTAAATCCCACTAGTGTTTAGGCATTCTCGGGTACCATTAGCAAAGCCCGAAACTCAATTTCCTGTGTGTCATTTTAGAAAATGATATTTATTCAGCCCTTTGAATAGCATATCGTCTAATCAAAATTCAAACAAAAAAAATCAATAAAACATATTTATTTGTGCAAGTTATGATTCGCCAAAATCATATAGCACTGAACCACGTTAAAAAAAATTCTCTATTTATAAAATGCATTGTAATGGGATCCCACCATAATGATACGTATGCAATTCATTTGAAGAAATTATTACATGTTTCTAGAATTATTGGTTTCAGGTTATTCATAAAGAGATATGTAAGTAAATGTGTCAGCTTTATATTATTGTCAATTAGTATTTTACTTACATGTCATTTCATAATTGATCAGAACCAATAATCTTATAATCATATAATAATTTCTCATTCATTTGACGGAAGTCTTTGACCGTTCTAACATGGTCTAATAACAAGAAAAAAAATTGCTTTCATGGCGAATTCAGCTTAAGATGATACCCATGGTTGTTTCGGGTCCCACCTATTGCGGAAGGATCCATAACACTTCTATTATTATAAGCATTATGGTTGGAGTTGTCTCTAACTGTGATATCCTCTCCTAAGTGTTTGAACCGAAATGAAGAATCCACTCTATCAATTAAAATAAAATAATATGAATTTGACATTAGGCGATTCAAAACATGGAGAGCAATTCTGCTCTCCACTTCAATTTAAAAATCGGACTTTGATCCTCTAAATTAAATATTTTTTAAGTTATTATAAGTTGAACTCGCTATAAATTGACACATGACATTTAAAATCTATCTATTGTTAGTGTTAAACCACGTCAATTAATTTAAAGAAGGTTTGAAAACTGACACCTTTTTGAGATAAAGAAAATTTACCAAAGTTTAAAAACTGCACCATTTTGAATTAAGAAAAATTCACCATACTCTAACATGTTTAACATCATTATCTCTCTCTCATCTTTCCCAAAAAAAGATCCTCCCTCTCTCTCCTCTTTATTCCTATCTTAAACAAGTCTTCATGGTCTCTGTTTTTTTTTTTAACCTGACCGACGTTCTCTCTCATCTTTTCTATTTATAGGGTTTTTGGTTTTATTTTCCTAACTCCATTAATATCTATATATATATATTCTTTTTCAATCATTATTATTGCCTGTAAAAATTGCATGTCTTGCAATTACATTTTCGTCCATCTTATTTACATGGCAAAAAACATTCATTTTTAGTGTGAATTATTCCCCCAATGGTGGGAATGAGCAAGAGGAGAGAGAGGGAGGATTTTTTTTGCGACGTTAAACGTAGTTAGAGTATGTGAATTTTTTTTAATTCAAAATGGTGTAATTTTCAAATTTTCTTTAAATTAGTTAATATGATTTAACATCAAATATCACGTGTCAATCGGTTGCGAAATCAACTTAGGATAACTTAAAATGATTCAAATCCTTAAAAATCATTATTTACCTTGAAATGGTTTTAACCATAGATGAGTACAAGTTTCATTTAAGTTGGAATAGTATTTAACAAATTTGAACTCAGCTAAAAAGTAATTATTGTAAAGATGGTCTACGCAATCTCCTTAGACATGATCATCCTTCCCCTCATAATTGTGTGAAATTCCACATATGTCCACTTTTTGTTATGAGAAATGTGAACCTAAAGATCATCTCATTTTCTCAAGATCTTCTCTTTAGTTTAAACCTTTCCATCCACTCAGTGAATTGGACAGTGAGATTACACAACAAATACTAATATTAACCACTAAAACTAGATTAAAAATAAACATGGAGAGAAAGAGTACATGTTATATATGTAAAACCGTTCTTGATTAAGGTTACTTAATTATGAATCGAAAACAACGAATTCGTAACTGAAAATTGTCTCCCCTACAATATTATATATATGTAACAAAAAACCGTATAAAATAGAAATGAAAAAGGGTAGTTCTTCAGTGAAATAGTTAAGTTAACCAAAATAATTAAAGACACAAAATAATTAATTAAAATGAGATTTTTGTTACCTTAATTTACATTATTTTTTTAAACATAATTCAAAGATTGCTTGGTTGATCACTAATGGAAGAGTGAACATGAGGAGAAGCTCTACAAAGAGGACAAGTAGAGTGAGTGCTTAGCCACCTATCAACACACACAGAATGATAAGCATGTTGACATACAGGCAACACCTTAACAATCTCTTCATCTCGAAACATATCAAGACATATCGAGCACTCTGTAAATTCAACAACAACACTGTTTGACACGTCCGAATTAGCGGCCGACGACCGGTGCACGAAAATGGGCAGGCGGTTGATGGCGGCGGCATCAATCCCCGGTGACCAAGCTGCAGGCACTACCGCATGCGGCGTGGAGCTCACATTTGAGGCCGTGACACCGGAGACAAGGCCGTGGTGAAACATGAAATGGATGTATATGTATAATAAGGTGATGATGAGGAGGACGGAGATGAAAATGACTACAATGAGGAGGGTTTGGCCGTTGAGATGGAAGGTGTAGTTGAGCTCAGTTGTTTGCCAGTTAAATGATTCGAAACCTTGGGTGGCCATGAGAGAGATTTGGAGGATGTGTTGTGTGTGTTTGTGTGTGTTTGGAGTAGACTTGGGGTGTGTTAGAAAAATGGTGAGATTTTGAAATGGGAAGTGATGGGGAAGAGTATGGGCATGTCATACTAGTAATTGCACACATATGTAGGGTTTAGGTTTGTTAGTTATTAGCTTGCATTGGTTACCATTTCTTTATTGAAGCCAACTGCAATGTCAGTGATCTTCACTTGTCTAGCTCTCTTCGTCAATCTGAATTGAAGGAATTAATAGGGTGTAGTCATATACTCAAAAGCCTACCCTGCCATTTTTACTTTGGTGGAATGATGGTATATGTATAGCAAATGATGTCGTTACTTGTTTGGTAGGATAAAAAAAATTGGATTATGAATCTGCAACAATCACTTTATGCGAAATGATGTTATAATTTTATTTAGAGTCTCGAGAGACGAACAATAAACTCGATTCGACTCTCACAAAACACAAAAGAAAATACATGAGTTTAAATGATAAGTACAGTTTACGGGTGATTACACATATTCAAGGTTTATGTTACAATAATAAATTCAACTGGTGGGTGATTGGAAGGGTTCTTCATTTTTAAAAAAACAAACAAAATGTTGCCGTAGATTGAAAATTTTGATTTTAAGTCTCCAAATAATCTCCTTATGCAAAATAATATTATAAATTTGTTTAGTGTCTCCTTTACCTAAGTTTGTGTAAGGTTGATTGAACACATGAGAACACGTACAACTCTCATAATCCCCATCATAGGAAAGTACTATTAAATTATTAATGATTTTGTGATCATATCCATTGATACTTCTTTAATGATTTACCTATATTTTTCTAAATTACTACATATTCGTTCGGCAGTACACATGCATGTATATTTACCCAAAAAAAAAAAAAAAAATGACATTAGACATGCTTATATCTCTGCGTTCATTTTGGTAAATTCTAGTTTTGACTAGGAAAACTACACTTCTCTTTTTTAAAAATTAAAAAAATTAATTAATTAAACAGAACAAAAGATAAAGAGGAAGAATTATTACATAATACCGTAATTTTCAACCTAACATCTAAATAATTGCGTAAAAAATATGTACATTTTATTCAACTTTTTATTTACGTACCCAATAAGGATTAGCCAGGATATCTGACAACGTGACCATGACCATAAGAAGTTCATTACAAAATCTTGAATTTAGCACTTCAAACACAACCTTTCCCATCGCTCTAATCTAAGCCTTATATACATATGATTTGCAGTTGTAAAACCAAAATGATGAAATGTCAAAGGCCACCATCTAACGTACTAGTTCGATCTTTTCTTTTCAAAATTATGCACCAGTCAACTTTTAATTCCACTATTTTTTGTTTCTTCGATCAGTCCGCTTTGTATGTTCACGTGGTACTATAAAGTTATTGATTAATCTTACACATCAACTAATACAAACAAAACAATCACATGTGACTTTTTTAAAACTTGCCAAGCACATGTCCTGATTTACTCATGTCAGATTTCATCCACAAACCAATTTGTAATATGCTCTCTCTCTCTCTCTCTCTCTATCTCTGATCTATATATATATATATATATATATATATATACTGATTTATACACATTTGCATCCCATAAATTTATTTTTCTAACCCTCTTTGCTATGCAATGTACATAGATATACGACTTATTATATGTTTTTTCAATATTCTTGTTGTCCGAATCCAGTATTCTTTCTTTTCAAACCAAATAAAGGTAAGGATGATAGTGATGTCGATACATAAAATTGGTTAGCATCCTTAATAAATAGTTCATTATAATTGAGAACTCACATTTAGCCTATATTATAAAATAAAACAAAACCGAATACAATAATTTAGCTTATATTGTATATAAGTGGCTATTCTTACATTTAAAACCGAATCAAATGCACACAAAAATAAAATAAAAACTAAAAAAATATGTGTACTGAATGGAATATACTCCTAGATATTTTATTATATTTATTTCCAACTACACTAAAGTTAGCTTGGATCACAATAACTACACTTAGCCCATCTGCTTTGACATGATCGTGAGCTCATATAAAAGAAATTACTCAACCCAATGATGGTTAGCCCATATAAAGTAAGGTCCAAAGCGAAAATTACTCAAGCAAAGACTTAGCCCAAGTGAGCCCATATTAAAAGACGGCCCAAAACGAAGATTACTTAGGAACAATGGTCCCGGCGGGGCTCGAACCCGCGACCTTCGGCTCATAAGACCAACGCTCTAACCAACTGAGCTACGGGACCATTCGTTTTTCTTTGCATGCACAATTTTATACAAATATTAAACTCATAATCATCACATATAGAACTTAAGGAACAATAATAATAGTAGACATGAGTTGAAACTTGTGAAGAGGCACTAAAATACTGAAAAGGAGATTGGACAACAAATGTAACATTTGACGTTATTTACATGAATTTTAGTAAAAGTTTTATGCAGACTATATCATTACCTAAGCGATGCTCACAAGGCTTAGGAGATTATTAAAGTTGGGATTACTTTAGTTGGTGTGAATTGTGAGAGGTTTGTTTAGTTTTGCATTTATCCTCTTTAATTATGAGAGGAATGATTGTTCCGTTGTGTTTTGGATTTGTGCCTATTCTTTCATATTATAATGGGTTAGTCTTGCCATGTTGCCCGAGTTCGATGGGTTGATTTTAATGAATCATATGGTAATTTTATTTTTACCTAAAGGGGAATAAATAATACTTCTTCTATTTTAAAATAAGCATCGTGTTTTTTTTTTGTCTGTCTCAAAATAAGTGTCCACTTTTCTTTTTCAAACAATATATCTCACATCTTTTTATATGTCCTTTAAATTTAAAATTTCAAATTTGAATATTCAAAACTTAAAAAGAAAAGTTAGTAACTTTTCAACAAGACAATGCATGTCTCACATGTCCCTTTAAAAATTACTACTCCCCATAAGTGACACTTAAATTGAGACAAAAAAAATATTAACCTTTAGATAATCTAAGATTATCAACTGGGAGGCAACACTTTAAAAAGTATGTTTTGTAACCTTCCAATAATATATTAGTACCAAAATATGGAAGTGCATTGACCGGGCACGGATCTACTATGGGCTCATTTGCCCTCATTGAAAAAAAAAAATTTATTGCATTTTACACCTTTAAATTTATACTTTTTTGTATTTTTGTCTGTAATTTCTTCTTTTTCTTTTTTATTTATTTATAAATTTGCCTCTATATGAATTTCTAGATCCGTCCTTGGTATTGACCTAGGTCACTCAAGTAAATCAAAGTATATTTTATTACAATCTATAGTTCATAAATCTCTCATGATTCAGAATGAATTTACTTTAGCAACTGGTAAGAAAAATTACTCATGGCGCCTTAAGTAATTTTGTACTTATCGATAATATGTTCAGTGTGTTCGACACACCAATACATTTGGTTGTGAATCCTCCATTCAAAAGACTGAGGTAAGCCACACCGCTTTGTGTCTCCACCAAGTAAAAATCAGTGCTACACTAATGAATTAGAATGTTCAATTCTTTAACATTCATACTTACGAATACTAATAATTTATATCTCTTATGCGCAACCACATCGTGTGTTGGATCATTCCAAGATTAAGTTATCGTAACATTAATGCATGTCTTAAATATATTTCTTTTATGTTTCATATGATTGTAATAATAAAAAAAGGAAATAAAATTAAAAAATATATATAGTTTTCTAAAAATAATTTTATAATTTATAATTTCTTAAAATCTATTTTATGAGTGATAAACCAAACATGCCTCAAAATTTTAATTTATTTTAAAAAATGCTAAATATAAATATATATATATATAGGAAGGAAAATTCTAAAAACAGAATTAAAAAGAAGGAGACATAATAATTGCCCAGGGGCTGTGAAAACAACTTTGATGGGCTCCTCCAAGTGCTAAATCCTAACCTTGTAGTTGGATTCCCCTTCCAAAGTATCCCAATCTACACAATCTGTTATGTCGAGGCTTTGTGACGACAACCCTTTACTATTTCGAGTCTTATCTCTCTCTCTCTCTCTACCTACTTTCCAAGTAGAAACCATCCAACGGCAAACTCTACTGGTCAGTTGAAAAGTCACTGTCCACCATCACTTTCATTGGTTTCAAAGCTCCTTTTCCTTCTTGTTGTTAGTCTTTAACCAAACCCTCCTCACATTACACACACCTCTCACCTATCTAGCTATCCCAAGTCTCTACCAACAACTTCACACCTTTTCCCAATTTTTTTTTTTTTTTTTTTTTTTTTCTTTCCTTTCCTTTTGATTCCATTTTAGGATTTATCAGTTCATTTGGGTTTGGTGAGTATGAAAAGATTATCAAGAACTAAAAAAAAATGTGATGGTGTGGAGAAAAAAGGGTACACCTACAATTGGAAGGTCACTATTGATTGGGAGATGAGGCCCGGGGGAATGCTTGTTCAAAAGAGAGATGTTGCTTCTGGTACCGAACCTGCTGCTACTAATTCTGATACCATGATCAAGATCAAGGTCTCTCATGCCTCTTATCAACATCATATCACTGTCCCTGATCAATCCACTTTTGGTATTTCCTAATTTTTCTCTCTGCTGTATGATTTTATTTTTTATTTAGTCTCTTTACTAGAATACGTACTGATGCACATTTGCTAGTTTTGTATGTTTTTATGTTATCCTTCTGCCTCTTTTCACTTTTGTTTGTGGGATTAGATGCAGGGTATTGCCTCTCAAGCTAGTTTGGTATTTTATATCATTTTAATGAGCTGTGTATAAATTAAAGTCATAATTAATTGAAACAGTTGACAACTTTTAGGGCATTTGATGGGGATTTTAGTCCATCAAGGAAGTCTTTTTCCCTATAAATAAAAAACTAATCGAGTGTTCTTTATGAGACAGATCAGTTTAAGATCACTTGCAACTTTTACATCCATCACTGATTTTTTTTTTTTTTTTTTTTTTTTTTTTTTTTTTTTTTTTTTTTTTGTGCATTGATGTGTACTTGTTTTAACAGAAGGTCATTTGGACATCAAATGAAAATGAGATCCTTCTGTCTTGAATTTCTTTCTGAGGTAGGATTTGGAGCTGCAAGCCCATTCTTTAAGATGTTGTCTTTGCAAGTGATTCCAATCACTAACCAAAAAGATGATTAAAACATTGTGATGCCATAACGGTCAACTATTGAAACCCAGAGAGTTGTCCAGATTACTTTATCAAGGCTATAATCATATCAAGGGCTGAACAGTGAAAAATACAAATCGAGTAGAACTCAAATTTCAATACTGTAAAAATGCTGGTGTTTCGAATGGGGTCAAGTCCATGGTAAAATTAAATGTGTTCCATGCTTATTTGAATCATTTGTTCAGTTTTCTTTAATAACATTGGTTATTCTTGTAGGGGTTTCTTTGAATTTAAACTAATTTAGGTGCTAGTTTTTATAGTATTTTGCATTCTACGTTCCAAAAAAATTGATGCAAAATATATGTTTCTGGTCTAATGGAAGGGGATCTGAAAAAGGTTCTTGCCCATGAAACTGGACTGGAACCTAAGGCGCAAAGACTATTGTTTAGAGGGAAAGAGAAGGGTGATGAGGAATGTTTGCATATGGTTGGTGTAAAAGACATGTCAAAGTTGATTCTGTTGGAGGACCCTGCTAGCAAAGAAAGGAAGCTTAAGGAGATGAATAGAAATCAAAGTGTATTGAAAGCTTATGAAGCTGTTGCCACAGTTAGTGCAGAAGTTGATAAACTCCGGGACAAGGTCAGGATTGCTTCACAATAATGAACCATTTCATGTGGCACCATGGAAACCTTATTAGTTGTTATTTATGTCTTAGGTTGTCGCATTGGATACAACTGTGCATAATTGCACCAAGGTTGCGGACAGGGAATTTGCCGTCTTGACAGAGTTGCTCATGGTGCAGTTGCTTAAATTGGATACCATTGAGGCTGATGGAGAAGCAAAAGTGCAGAGGCGTGTCGAGGTTAGTAGTTCTTGCTGCTCTTATAACAATAAGAAACCAATGACCAACTGATGGCTTGTTGATTCCACTAATCCATGCAAGCGGTATGTTTTCGTGCACATAAAACAATCAAATGCTACAATATAATGTATAGTGTAGCTATGAGATTGCAGCTTTGAACATTTATGTCCTCTAGGGAGATGATATTTTTGAGAATTTTCCTGGTACAAAATCTTAGGGCTTAAAGTATGAATTGTGCTTTTCATGTGAAGAATTTCCCAAAATATAGGCATCTGCCTCTTAAGGCCATTAACTCAAAATAATATTTAGTACTTAGAGTTGACATGTGTCTAAGTAATTATTATTTATTCTCAAAATATGTATAAGTATATATGTATTTATGTGTGTATTTATACATATTTCACACCTTAAGGTTTACATCTCACATAATTTGAGGTGCTAGAGCCATCATTTCTGCTTTTCCCTTCTAAAACATACATCATCTGAGGTTAATATGTTCCTCACATTTCAGCTTCAAGATTTTAGGTTCTTCAGTATTAATTCAATGGGGTATTTTGGCGAGGTCATCATCTTTAGACTTTATGTACAGCCAACAGTTTGTTGCATCCGGAATGTGTCTTATAGAAGTTCCATTTCCTAGACATGTTGTCAAGAAGGGGATCTGTATATCTTGTGACATATTTTCCTATGTAAAAATGGAACCAAACTCTTTGGTTTTGGCCTAAGATATGTGGACATGGACATGGGTGTTGCCTTTTTGACATGGATGGTTTGTCAGGCTATATATGTATATATTAATTTCTTATACAGAATGTATGTATTTGTATAGTTTCTAGTTTGTGTATAAGTGGATGAACCGTACATAATAATATAATGAGGAAGGTAAAAACTACAGAATAGGTTTTGTAATTATAAAGCTAATAGTCAATGCTTTCAGCAAAGGCAAGCAGAGGGTCTTACTTGTTCATCTGTGCATTTTTGAAGTATATAAACACTATGATTAGTGTTGAAACTAGTTTCAGGCATGGATGCTGTGTCGACAAGTGCCCAACTAACTAATTGCTGACAGTGGAGTCTCCTACATGTCACAATCTGTGGCATTTCAACAATTGCCTAGTGAAATCGCTGTCCTCCTACATAAGTTCATAAGTTGGAAATTGTTCATATTTGGCAGGACAAATCATACTTACACATGGAACGAGTTGGAAGCTCCATTTTTCAGTTTCAAAACCGTCAAGAAGGGGCTTTCTCTTATTCTCTTGTGGAAATTGTATCTCAAATTCCTAGGTTAATTAGTTTTCTATTTTAGAGTTTTATTTTGTTTGGTCTCTAGTTCTGTTTACCTTTTTCAGCGTCAATAGACGATTTGGCTTCTTCAAGCTGTATCATTTAGGTTAATTAGTTTGTTAGTCATCCCAAAATTTGGCTACTGAAATCCTGCACATTCAAGATTCAGAAATTGTAGATAGTTGGTTCAAAAGATTGTTCTGCTATTCTGTTTTACTTATCAGAAAAAAGGAAAAAGAAAAAGATACTTTGCCACTATCACATTCTTATTTATACCCATATATTTATAGTAGTTTCATTCTTTATCTTCCTGTCAAAAGAACTGCAGTAGATACAGGATGAATGAATTGCACTTCTTGAATATTTTTGTGTTCTTGACAAATCTGATCTAGTTACTTATATTTGGTTATTTGTTACCTGATATCACTGCATGTACTAGTTTTAGTTCACCGTTGCTTGTTATCATTAGATTGTGCTCCTACAAGCATGTTCGAGACAAATGCTTTCCCCCTTCTCAAGACAGATTCCCCTATGTAACCCCTGAAGGCTGAAACCAGTGACTGAAACCTTTTTTTTTTTTTTTTGGTTGAATTGTGAAATTACTTAAGTGGAAAATCACGAGAATATTAATTTGGGAGGCATTGATTAAGTTGTATAATGGAAGTGTGAATATCCTCTAATATGTTACAAACTTACAACAGCTTAGGCGTTATGATAATTTAATGGTCAGGTACTTGTAAGTGTTGTCTGTACTGCTAACTATTTTGAAGAGTCGTCGTTACTTTTGTAGTTATAGAAAATTATAACCATCTGTTTAAAATTCCTTGAAGCATGTTTACTTACGAGTCATTATACCGCTTGAGTTGCCACAAATGCTTGCATTCAGAAGAAGCTTCACATGAAATTTCTAGTAATTAATTGTGACTGTCGAATATTTATATGAAAGTGAAGATTGAAACATTGTACTCTAATTGTTCCTGCACAGGTTCGACGCATCCAGAGTTTTCTTGATGCAATTGACAATTTAAAGGCAAGAAATTCTAATCCTTTTAGGAATAGCAGCAATCCTGTGTCAGTGGCAACCAAATGGGAGAAATTTGATTTGGGATTCGGAAGCCTCAGTGCTCCAAGCCCAATAGGATGATCTTCCACAAAAATCACTCAGGACTGGGAAATGTTCGAGTAGCTGAAGGTTTGTCCCTTTGTTTGAGTTGTATAAAGAGTATCTGTAATGTTATATGATTCGAATCCTGTTTTGTGCAGTCTTGTATTTCTGATTTCTGAGGTGCTACTTGGTGAAAACTGGAATGAGAGAGTGGCTTACATGAATGTATAGAATGTTACAGTTAATTTAAAATAACAACAGTTTTTTGTACACATGATTTTGTCAATATATTGAACAGTGAAACAAGTAGCAATGGTTTTTGATAATCCTCTTCATGGCAGTGACCTTGTCAAACACATTCCAAAGCAAGACTTGTCTCGGGACTTTGCATTCTTTTTTTCTTTTTTTTTAGGTAACCGGGGTATCCAGGGTTTTGCCCCGACTAAATCCCCGGGACACCGTGCAAAGCGCCCCCTTCACACGGATCGGATAAAGCTCGGGCTTTCACCTGCAAGAATGACCCCTAAGGAATCGTTTGCACTAAGGGGGATCAAATCTTAGGACTGCATTCTTGTGGCAACACCTCCTTCAGTCTGAACTTCATTATATAAGCAATACTTGATTAATGATTGTAGCATTCTTTCCCGGTACACCATTTTGCTCACCATGGTATTATACTGTCGATTGCTGACCATGGTATTATACTGTCGATGATGGAGATGGAGTTTCGCCGTTCATGAATGACACACTTCGGATCAGAGTTTCACTGTCCACAGAGTTTTCGGAAGCATTTTTAGGTTTAAGATCCTGATTTCTTCTGTCAGGTCTCCTGTGTCTTCCTAATACCAACTCCGATACAAGTCATTGCTTGATAGTTAATAATCAGTGGTCATTCTTTTGTGAGTGTACATGATTATTCAGAACTGGATTAATAATACAAGGATATATAATCCCTGAAAAATTAATTCTATAGTCTGAAGGAAGATGAGTGCTGTAATTGGTTTTTATTGGACTAGATTAGTCTATCTTTTTTAGAAGAAAAAAGTTATGACGAGAGTACTTTCCGGTGAACTTGTGCCGAAATTGTGTGTCGTTACATTCACGACCAATGAATAGCGACATGAGCCCAATGCTACATTGTATTTGACTTACTCTTTATTGAATACCCTTCTCTCATATTCCACAAAAGAGGGTGAGATACTAGAGGTCATAACGATTTTTTAAGGCCGAAATGGACCTATTGGTGCTTCAGTAATTAATCCCTTGAGTGAAGTAAATATTCCATCCAAATTGACCCAAATGTCTAATCTTTCCCAATGTTTCTCTTTCAACACCTGATTCAATCTGGCCATAAGAATGGATAAAAAAATCAGCATGCAAGAAACTGAGTGCAGCAACCTAAACTTTAAGGCACTTTTTTCATTTTTTTATTTTTTTGTCGGACCTCTTAAAACACCACATAATTCATCACCAAACACATGCAGTCCTCCCGTCCCATATGCTACATTGTTGTCCCATATGCTACATTGTTGTTACCCGCGATATTCAATAATTTTTCAAGATCCTACAAGATTCATGGTGTATAGAGGTCTCCTTCACCTGCTAAAACTGAACCAGGAAATAATAACCTTTTTTAAAGTTTGTTTATGAAGCATAATGTATAATTTGTATGTGTCAACTATCTTAAAGTTCCAATAAAAACCAGAGATGATTATGGAATCCCCAAAAAATAAAAACACACACACACACACACACGAGATAATCCACCTCTTAGGTCTGATAATTAAATACCTATCATTTCCCTGAAAAATTAAAAACTGAAATCATCCTAATTCTCATGGAGTAGCCTTTTTAGAGTCAACCCAAATCTAAATAGGTCTAGTAAATGTTCTTCCAGGCAGTTTGAGAGTCACTCATCCATCATAGAGGCCAGTGATTTGTTCCAAAATCAAAAGGGATACTGTAAAGAGATGGAGATGGCAGAGGAGGAAAGGAAGTGGAGCTTCTCACAATGTTTTTTAACCGCCAAAATTCACCCTTCTAGTTTAAACTTCATATATCCATAATTTATATACAATTAGGGTCTCAATAGAGTCCACACTAGTACAAATTTCAAGTTCTCTTTTCCATTTGCATCTGCTGAATATAGATCGTAACATGATCAAGCAACTGATACAAAATTTCTTATAGAAATCTATTTATCCATCAGAAAGAGTTGTTTGTTTCTCCCTTAAAAAGTGTGAATTTGTTGTATATCTAAACAGATAATGGCCAAAAACCTAACCCATCTCTGTTAAACAGTCTTTCAAGGGAAACAGCGAGAGAAAAACAAGCGAAAAAAGGTCACCCATGATCATGTTTCATCAACCAGGAGTATAGAATTGGGTGTTCATCCCAACTTCAAGTAAATTTGTTGGCGTGCCTCAGTTCAGGATTCTATCATGGCTCTTCCAAGGTTCCATTCGAGTACTCCTCACCTGCAACACCAGGTGTTCCATTTGATAACCGATTCATACTGGTGGAATTCGAATAAGGGGAGTGGGTGGAATTTGAAACATGGCCCCCTCGTGAGTACCGGTTTTGTGCAGCTGTGCTACTTCTTGTTGCCTTGAGACGAGCCTTTCTACCCTGTTACAGAGTGGGAAGCCCTTCAGAGTTGGAAAACAGAAGGCTTCCATACATATCATATACATTTTCATGAAATGGAAGTTGCAGAGTGGGAAATAAAATGTGCATAACAAGATATACCTCACTAAATAAACAAAACGATGCTTACTAGGAGATAACATTGAAAGGTATTGCAAGACAAATTAGTTCGGTTTTAAGAAACAACTGAGTTGAGTTGATGGTACAAGGGTGTGTGTGCGTGCGTCTGTGTGTGTTTAAGAGGGAGAGAATTACCTTTCCCATGCACTTCTCCAAATGAGGGGCAAACCTTCCAGCCACAATTGATCGCCCACAGTTCATGCACTCGAATATATCGTTGGCTACAGGAGGATGAGTTTGTCCAAATATATCAACCACATATTTGCTATTTGTTTCAATACAATTACTAGGATCAGCTACCATTGCCCGTGCTTGTGCTGAAAGCCGTAATTCTTCTTCCTCTTCTTCCAAATTACGATCAAGGCCTAGCCTCGCTATTCGGTGACATTCAGATGCAACATCAACAATAATGGAATCCAGGAGATCACCAAGAAAATGAGATGAAAGCTGCAAACAGAACCCACAATAGCTAGGAATTACAAAAGGTATCTGGTAGAACATTCACCAGCACATGTGAACAAATATAACCAACAACAACTATATATTGTCACTAATTTAAGGTTCATTAAATTGAAAACCTTTTTTGGCAAAAAGAAAGGTAGTGGATACAGATAGAAACAACTCATGGTAATATAACACATAATGCCTAGTAATATTACATAAGATAAAAAAGATATATTTAAATATGTAACGTGTGCCCACATAGCCGTATCTGACTTTTAGGCATATTTAAAGAGGAGTTTTTGTATGCCAAGATTTGGGGTTCAAGAAGGTTCAACACCTATACACAATACTCAAACCCATGTAAGTGATGTAACATAGGATAATGTAACACGGATAACTAACCTTACCACCGTGCTACTTACTAATACACACACGCGCGCGCATATTGTGCTTACCACCGAGCTATGAGGATAATGATTAAAACTAAGATACTTGTAGGTCATCATCTAACTTCACATAGACATTAATAATGCAAGATTATTATACGACTTTTTTGATGGATTGTATAATTATGAGTGAAATGCAGAGATACCTGAGATTGAGAGGACATGTTATCTTTGTTTGGCATTGACATGGGTCTTGACAAGTTGCTTCAAAGCCTGGTAAGGATGGCACTCACTGAAGGCTTCAATTGGAGCAAGAATAGATTTCTAACTTTCCAAAAAAGGCAAATGACAATAGAGAGAATGAGTCAGAGAACTGGGTTGATAAATGAATCAATTCAGAGGAAGTGGAAAAGTATTAAAAAAACAATAATAAAAACAAAAATCAACATAATCGACAACTAGAGTAAGCAGCTGCTAACCAAAGAGTCGTGAATCTTCTGAAGTAGCGAAGCATTTGTTCAAAAACTTAACGTGTACTCATAAATCTCAAAATAACATTCAATAAGAAGTATCAATGACTTGAGGTGTTACCATTCTGTTTACTTATGCCTTCTAAGTCCTAACAGAGCTGCTGCAGGTGATTGAAAACAGTCACTCAAATGAGCAATGAGCATCTCACCCTAAGGATCATGAATAGATCAGTACAATCGAGTGTTGATTTGTCATGATCAACATTCTCTCTTACTTTCTTCCAAGGATAAAAAGCTATGATCTTTTCTATTTATCTTTTTTAAGATTATCTTTCCTCATTCTACAAAATGATGGATCTCAATCCAGAGCCATCCTTCCAAAACATAATCAAGATTCAATTGAACTTTATTTTGTGTATAGAGACAGAAATTAGGAAATAGTACACTGCACGGTCTAAAGACCATTGAAACATTCTGCTTCATACTACACTGCACGGTCTCCATCCGCAGCAATCACCAAATAACTTGCTTCATACTACACTGCACGGTCTCCATCCGCAGCAATCACCACATAACTTGCTTCATACTACACTGCACGGTCTCCATCCGCAGCAATCACCACATAACTTGTCAAGCTAATTGTGTGTGTGTGTGTTTTTTGGGTAAATTAAGCTAATTGTGTTCTACCAACTAGAAGAGATAATAAAATCAACGACGGCATAGCCGGGTTCATAAAATGCAATTTGAACATATAGCTCTGTGTAATTCAATTCAGTACAACAACTAATCATCAAAGAAAAAAAAATTCCTCCACCATTATCACATAGTGAAGGGCATAATCGGTGTAATTGATTGTTTGACCTATGTTTAAGAGCTGTAAATAGTTTTGTCACATTAATTCAATAATTTGGTGGCTTCCTGAAGAGAAATTCGATCAACAGGGCACAAGAATCGTAGTACCCAGTATGAGGAAGCTTTCGATATTTCGAAATGGAATTGATTGGATAAATAATTATAACATTAATCTACGATCGTCAACATAGATATATAAACAACTGATTTTGATTTGTTTCCCCAACATTCACACTCATATATCTCGAATATATACACACATGTATATACATAAAGATAAAGCTAAAACGTGCAATGCCAATATATGAGCGTCTAATCGAATACAAGAATACAGATCAATACAACTGTGCTAGAGAAGAGAGAGCTCACAGAGAAACTTTCGAAGAAGAGAGAGAGAGAGAGAGAGAGAGAGTCGTATTGGGCCTTCCCAGTTTCTTGATCTCCGCTGGATCGTTTGGATTAGGAACTTGTTGGAATGATGAAGCTTGGTAAGTTGGTCGGTTCACACCGTGTTTGGATGAAAGAGAAGTGAGGCGGGGGAGGGAAGAAAGGAGAGAAATGGGAGGAAAACGAGATTCTTAATACCCAAATTTCTTTATAAAGAAATTTTAAAAAAATAAATAAATGGTTCCAAATGAAAATGAACTTGTGATGATCATTTACTTTTCCAAATTGTTTTACCCTTTCTATTAACAAAATAAATTGTTAAAATCATTAAACTCCTTCCTATTTTTAAAATCGTTCATAAAATTCAGTAAAATTAAAAATTTCATTAATTAACAAAACTTATCAAATTACCCCTAAACTCATGTCCAACCCATTAAATAAATGAGTTGTGAAACCTTAAATTTGACATTGTTATTTAATATTAAATTTAAAATTATTATTATTATTTTAAAATTAAAAAATATTCTTTTATAATAATATTATTTAATGTTAGATGAGTTATTATCTTACTAGCCATCGATGACTCATTTTTCGTCCCCCAATATTATTTTTATAATTTTATAATAATAATTATAACTTTTAATTTAATATCAAATGGTAAGGTTAAAATTGGCATTTCACAACCCATTAAATGAACCCGTCATGGGTTTGGGAGTAGATTGATAAGTTTTGTTAGTTCAAGTATAATTTTATGCATGATTTTGAAAATAGAGACAAAAATATTTTTTCATTTTCTTTTACCCTTCTATTAATAAAATAAAACAAAATATTTTATCCACCTGAAATAGGAAAAAAAAATTAAAAAAAAAAAAAATCTCTCTTTTAAGAGTCGAACATTTTAAAACAGGTAACTTATCATTCGAAATATGTAATTTTCTTATTCCATATATCCAAAAATATAACCAATATGGCCTAAAAAGATTGGAACTTCAAAACATTGTTCCATTTCAATCATAAAACTATGAAAAGAGTAGGAGATCGAGGTTGTTACATTTCTTTTCTTCTTCTTTTTTTTGACTTTTTTTTCTTTTATTTTCTTTTTTCACTTCACTTCTCAAAATGATCTGAATAATTATATACAAGTCAAGAAAGTAAATTAAAAGAACAAGAAAAATGTTTTTTCTTTTTCTTTCTCTTGGAATGCCATGAGTGTCATCCATATTTTATCATATCTTTTAATTTTTGTTGAGTTTATGGCTCAAAATTCGTGTGCAGAAAATTCATTTCTTTTTTTGTTTTGGAAGGTTGAAATTTGTAAAGGAAAGTGTATCCCATTATATTTCTATTTTAGAGTTTTTATCATTATGGTAATTTCTTGTAAGCAAGTTGGGGAATACTGGTCCAACAAGGAATTGGTTTTGAAGACTCTATAAATAGAGATAGGTGTGAGGAGTTGAGAGAGAGAGAAAAGAGAAAAGATGTAAGGGGTTTAAGGGTAAGTGTTGTGAGGAGATGGGAGAATATATGTAATTCCTGAGTATATACATGTAGCCTCAAAAGGGATGATGAGTGAGTAAGTGGGGGTTTTGACATGTGGTTGTATATTCTCTTCCTTAATTTATAATAGTGAAATTTCTCTCTCCTATGGACGTAACCCTAGAGTTGGGTGAACCATGTAAAATATTGTGTTGTGCGTGGATGTGCGTGATTGTTATCTCCATATATGCTTGTATTGATGTGATGTGATGATGTTTCCCCTGTGTGTGATGAAGGAGGGATTTAACTCTCAACAACAGCCGACCGTTAAGTGGGTTGAAGGGAGTTAATTATCCCCAACAACTGGTATCAGAGCCGATGGTGGGTCAGAGCCTGTGATTGGTCCTGAAGATCAGTAGAAGAAGGTTGTTGCGAAGCATAAGATGATCGTGAGGTGCAATTGAGATTCAATCAAGAATTGATGATGACACAAAGGTATAAAGAAGGTGATGGTGTAAAGCCCATAAAGAACAAGTTTTGGGACAAGCCAGAGGATGCTCGTTTTCAAGATGGGGCAAAAGTGATAGAGATGAAGCCCACGAGGAACAAGTTTTGAATATAAGACAAGAGTGAGTGCTAGTTCTCTAGATGGGGCAAGGGGTATGAATAATGAAGGGGTTTGCTCTAAGCTTGATAAAGAGTAAAGAAGAGAGGTTTGTTGCTTTGTGTGACGACCCGAACCCAGAGGTCTGAACCGTTAGCCGGGTCTTGACTCGAACCCGAGGTCAACTACGTCAAACTCTTCATGTTTAGCATCTAAACATACTCATTTGAATTAAAACTATGCTTTTCCAATGTTCTAAGAAACTCTTAAGAGTCAAGAGTGGATTACAAAAGAAGAAGGAACAAGAAACCTAAAACAAGTGCACTTCGGTCGACCGAAGTGGAGCTTCGATCGTCCGAAGCAGACCTTCCTGAACCGGTCGACCGAAACCCTCCATCGGTCGACCGAAATGAGAGATGCCAAGAGTGTGAAGATGGTTCGGTTGACCGAACCCCATTTCAGTCGACCAAAATAGGAGATACTGAGAGGGTGCAAGTGGTTCGGTCGACCGAAGTGCCATTTCGGTAAACCGAAATGACCCTCCCGAGGCTGGAACCTGCTGCTGTGGTACTGCAATTTGGAGACAAAAAAGAACTAAAACAAAGACTAAGTTATTGTGATAGATTCACTCTAACATCATACAAATGAATTGATCTACAATCATGAACAGGAGTACCAATTCATGAACACCTCATAACGATGCTTGATTCAAACTACATAGTCCCGTACATAGTCATTTCAAAAGTCTTTATTTACAACAAAATGGATTCAAGGTTTCAATTGCATCATCATTTATATGCCAAATGAACTTAACACATCTTATTACATGTGCTACACAAAACAAGTTCAAGCTCTACAAAAATATATCCAAAATGCTCTCCAAGTTCCTTCAATTTAGTAGTGGATTTTCATCCGCCGTTTCTTTGCCATGACCTGAAAATGTTAAGTATATAGGGTGAGCAATTTTCTCAGCAGGTAGCACTTAAGACACGCTTCTTGTGTCCCCGTGAATCCATACAAAGAATAGAGCAATGGGAATGGGGATCATACTAAACCGGGGTAATACAATAAAAAAACCAATCTCAACATAAACAATGATGCAATGAACTGCAATGCATGCCAATGTCTCTCCCCATTTTCACATTCAAAATCATCACTTTCAAATTGTTAATATAACCCGCCCTTTGGTGACCCTGCAGTGACACGAGAGACGGATTGGCTAGTGTCCCTGACCCTTGGTACCCCCGCGGCGTCATTATGGGGCCCAGCTAGCTCAACCACGCTAGAACAATCTCTCTAGTTCCCTCTAGGCTATATTAACTCTCCGGCCCTTTGGTACCCCCGCGGCGACCGAGTTTTCTCAAAACCACATTAATCAAACACATCCCCGAAATCCCCTTTTTTTCATATCAAAACAATTCTTCCCTTTTTCATGCCCAATGTCAATGCATGAATGCCTCAATATCATGTTTATGCTCATCATTCTCCAATCACTCAAAATTTAATTAGCAAAGCATAATTCATAAGAACTTTTAATGAAGTACAACATATTCTCATACAATGAAATTTTGCATGGTAGGCATATAAAGAATCAACACATAGACATGCTCTACACATAGATCATTTAATACCACAATTACTCAATTAGCAAATATATATATATACATCAACTAGACAATAGACTTGATTCTATACAAATTAAGCATGTCAACAACCATCTATGAAGAATTGACTCACTAAAGCACAAGATTTCATGGATTAAGGGCCCCTACCTTAAAATTGAGCAAAACCCTTGAAATAGGTCTCTAAATTCGAATGCACAAGGGAGTACCAAAACTGAAATTGTTGGTATAGATACGAAGGTCTCGTCGTAGGCTTTGTTTTGCTGCAAACGGCTTCCAAAAACTCCAAATATTGAGAGAGTAGTCTTGATTTGAAATTTGGAACTTAAAAGGAAAAGAAAAATGAAGAAGAGAAGGGGAGAAGAGAGAGTTACAGGAGATTGAGAGAGTGATGAGAAACCAAGTGGTCTCTATACCACAAAATGATAGTGGTGGGTCCCGCCATTAACTTTTTATTTTCTCTTTTTCTTTAAACATTCATTTTGCACCTTACACACATATAAATGCACATTTAACATGCATTCACTTACAACATAATGAATAAAAATTAATTATGATGAAAATGGACCCGACTAAAATCTCGTACGCAAAACATGAAAAGACAAAATTGCCCTTGCATCAACAAAATTCCGAAAAATTGGAAAAATGCTGAAAATTGGAAACATCACACTTTAATCCAGAAAAGCAATTGATGAAGATGAGTTTGAAGATTGGTGGGTTACTATACGTGAGCAATTAAACACCAATGAGATGGATAGAGAAAAGAAAAATGATGAAATTTGAGAAAATGTAGAGATTGTTAGAGTGTTTCTCAAGTTCATCATAGTGTTTTATTTGAGGTGGAGAAATCTTCAGTTGAGGTGGAGCTATGAAGAGATCCTTATTCGAGGTGGAGTTATGGAGAAGCACGTGAAGATTGAGTTTTGAGCCAAGGTGGAGATTGTTGAGTTTATGGCTCAAAATTCGTGTGCAGAAAATTAGTTTCCTTTTTCATTTTGGAAGGTTGAAATTTGTAAAGGAAAGTGTATCCCATTATGTTTCTATTTTAGAGTTTTTATCATTATGGTAATTTGTGACGTTTTCGATTTTCGGCATTTTTCATTTTTCCGGAATTTCGTTGAAGTAAGGGTATTTCTGTCTTTTCAAGTTTTTTGTGTGGGATTGTGGTTGGGTCCAATTGCATTTGGTGCATTTTAATTTATATGATGGTATGACATTTAAATGGTGATGCATTTTATATGGTGTAAAATTTCAAGTAAAAGATAATGAGAAAAGAAATAAAATTCGTGGGGCCCACCACTATATCAAAAGTGGTCTAGAGACCACAATTCTGCCTTCTCATTTCTCTCTCCCGTAAGTTCCTCTCTCTCACTCTTGTTCTTGGTTTTTCTTTTTCATTTTACTTCAAATCTTTGAAGTTTGATTCCATCTTCAATCCTTGGAGTTTTTGAGTGCCGTT